ACACACACACACACAAAATATTTTACACACACACACAAAATATTTTACACACACACACACACACACACACACACACACACACACACACACACACACACAAAATATTTTACTTCCCTCAGCTTGATTCCATCCCAGATGTTCTTGCGGTTGACAGAAGGGGGGGAAAGACAAAAAAAAATGGCCGTACCACATTTGAAAAAAACACCCATATTAAATGTTTTCAGTTAAACAGGGAGAGAGGAAATATGAATATGTACATAGTTTACTGCGAACACATTTACCAGCACATTGCTCACTTGCAACATTCAATTGCTCTATTTTTTTTTTAATTGTTTTATGTCTTGTATATATTTGGGTTGAATGCCTTGGAATTTAGTTTTTCATTGCCATAACTACACTGTAGCTACTGTGCATATGACAATGAAAACTTTGAATCTAGAAGATGAAGAGAGAAAAAGAGGATAGAAGAGGAAGAGGAAGAGGAGAGAATAAGAAGAGGAAGAGAAGAGGAAGAGACAACACGAGCACTTTTCCTCCGTTTGATTTATGTGATTCTATTACATTAAACATTCTTTCCCCTGAGCAGGCTCAGCTCCCTAGCAACCATCGCTCGCAGCCCTAATGTGTCTGGCACGCGGCCAGGGAAAGCTGCCTGCTTTATTGATTGCCAGATTGAAAAGTTTGCATTTAATAGGTTCTGTAATACATGAAGGAATTATTCAGAGCGGCTCCTTGTCAAAAACCTAAATTGGTTCTTTTGACTATCAAAAAACAACAGGGTCCCTGGTTTAAAAAAAAAAAAAAAAGGGCTATCAGAAAAGCTCCAAAGGGCTTCTCTCTGAAATCATGAGGAGTTGTAAATGTGATTATTACGAGGTTAGAGGCCCGTAAGACGAGGGAGACAAGTTAGTGCCGTGTTGATCCCCTTTTGTGTAGTGATGGATTGGCCCTAAACACTGTTTGCTGTCTGGTCCCCGGCTGCATCCTGACTAATGAAAGACTACTGCTGGGTTTGGGGGGGTCAATCCACTTATGGCGCAGTCAATTCTGAGAGTAAAAACAAGCTGCACTGCAAGAACCAGAAATGTGCAAATACCACAGGGAGCAAATGTAATCAACTATCTTTGGTTGCAGAGATGCAGCTGGCTTTCGGACTTCACAAACAAAGAGAAGCCCTCTCCGTGTCTCTTTCCTCTCATCAAACAAGCTTTAAAGCCTTTACACCCAGGTGATGATACTCTATCCGCTATGACGGCCACTCTCATTGGTCACGCAGCTCTGTCCGACACAAACTCAATTGAGCAGCTGTGATCAGAGATCTCAGAGGTTGTCACCGGCGGAGAGAAAAAGGGGGCAACACGGAGAGTTTCTTCAGCTCAGCCTGTAGGAGACAGCATTTCCAAAACCACACATACCCTCCTCCTGCAGGATGACATGTTTGGCTTTAAATGCATCTTTAATGGCAAAGCAAGTTTCCATTTGAGAGAGTTCTGCAGGAAGGTTGGAGCAAAGGAGGGAAAGGAAAGAAACATATCTTATCAGGAGATTGGGAATTGGGTCAGGAGAGGAATTACATGCCATTCTAGATCAAAGTTGCCGTGTGTGTTTCCTCAAAAGAAGGGCCGCTCATTATCAACTCAGATGTATTTCTTAGGGTGTGTACTGTGCAAAAGGCAACATGATTAAATATGTTTTTCTGTAAAAGAATTAAGCTGAAGGGGGGGGGGGAGAATACAAGAGGTTAGGCGTGTTTCCCAATGGTAATACCATAATGAGAAATAGAAGAGGGGGGGGTGTTTGTTGGCGATGTTTGGGGGGGGTTGTCATTCAGCATGGCTCCATTGTGAATTCCTGTCATTATATAAGAACCTCTCTTTCTCCCTCTCCCTCTCTCTCTATCATCAGATCTGTACGGAGGAGGAAGGCTTTAAATAAACAGCCCGCGGAGTGAAGCCAACTGGAACCCTTTTCAATAATTACATCCAGCACAATACTCAATTTACATTGCATTTATTTAGCTTGAGGACCTGACAATGTGGCGGAGAAAAGAGTGACATTAGCGGCGGATGATAACAGCTAGAGCGGTACGATCCCCCAAAGGGAGACGTTTTAGTCTGTGGCTGAGACTTTACCGATAGTAATATGTCATTAAAAACCAGCGCCATCTGTTCCGATTTGTCTTTTACGTGCTGTCATTGATATAAAACGTACTGGAGATACAAATCCCTCAAAAATGCTAACTGTATGATTTCCTCTGCTCACTTAGTTTTGATTACACATTCTAACAGCGCCACAAAAGAGAGAACAACGACCACTAACAATGGTTTTCTCTCCACAACCCTTAAGGATCTCCGTTTGAAGTTCTCCAGTGTAATCCTGCACAAACTGTTTTTACAAGACTGCTGTGTTATTCATGTCACACACACACACACACACACACACACACACACACACACACACACACACACACACACACACACACACACACACACACACACACACACACAAAATCTGGCTAAACAAGCAGCTCGGCTTTAAACTTATTCATTCCAGATTAAAGAACACGACCTCTGATGTGGAAAACCTCCGCTTCACCAACAGAGCTGTAATCAGTGTATGCAGACAGTGTTTGGAGCTGCGTGTCTCACATTGCACAGGAAAGATAAGAAACTTCAATGGAGAATATCTCCACGCTCCGATAACAAGTGTATGTTTACTGGACACTTAGTGATCCATTATTTCTCTCTGTAATATTGCAATAAATACCAATATGAGGTGAAAATGACAGTGGAAAATATTTTAGTTTTGATTACTTTGTGAAACCATCCATGGACTGGTATGTATTTTGTATACTGTATAATAACAGAGTGAGAGGAGACATGTAATGACAACATCAAGTACAGGTATTTTATGGCAAAGGCTTCTGTTGTCTTAAAATGTGCCAGTCATAGTGATGAGGCTATAAAAAAAAAATAAAAAAAATAAAAAGCACCTGGGTTTAATTTGTTCTGAATAAAAACTGAAACATCAGGTTAGTTTACTGTATAGTTATCCAGCTTTGTCTCCGTTTACTCATCTATTGTTTCGCACCTTTATAAAGGTTGCAACATAGTGATTAGGTGACTCGGCCTTTGTTAACTTTAGATATCGCGCTCTGACGCATCGAATGAAACAACAACTTTCCCTGAGTTATGGCTGAGAGGAGGAAAAAACTGGCTGAATGCTTCTCATTTTGCCAAGTGCTCCTCAGGCCAGTACATAACAAGGAAATGGACTGACAGGTTGAGAAAGAGGACTGAGAGGCATCAATGATCTATTGTTTGTGGCCAAGGCTCTCCTTCCAACTCTTCTGGCAGTCAGTATATAAAAGAAACCAAAATATATTACACCATCTGCACGGAAATATACAAACACAAATGACGTCATTTGTGTTCCTTTGGCTTAATAAAAGCATTAAGAGCAGTTATGTACTCGAGCAAGTATGTGTGAGCGTACACTAACACACACACCAAAGGTCTGGAATCTATCAAAGCCCCCATTGCAATTACCTTTCAATGCTGGAAAAATGCATTACCTCTGTGCTGTGAAATGAACCCTATGTTGTTCCTACAGGGCTAGAAGTCTATCCTCCACACTGAGCAGTACAGAATATTCCCTGCAGCTTGGCTATGTGACCCTCTTGCGTCAGTATTTACAGATTATGACGGATATTAAGTGGATGTTGAGAAAGCTGATCTGCAATCAGCACTGTGAGTTTTTTCTTTTTACCTTGACACAGGTGTACTGAAAGTGTTTTTCCAACACGGTAATTCTAAGAGTTAAATGGGTATTTAATGTGAGAGCGCATTTGTTCACACACTCTCACACGCAGTGGAATTCAAGTTATTATTACCAATGTGCACACATCGAGCTTATTAAATCACGTAGCCACAGAACTGAAAGAGACAGAGCTGTGACTCAAGTTCTCAGAGGTAGAAATGGATCTTTTACACTTGAATTAAATTGGAAACTCACAATAAAAACAACAGAAAATGTAACTCTTTTGTCATCCGGATCAAATATATGAAATATATATACAGTCTCCAGTTGTTCAAGGTAGTGAAATAATCTGATCCATAGTTCCTTTGTCAGAAACACTTAAACTCATGCTGTTCAAATTCAGTGAAGAGAGAAGCATTCAGATCGTTTATATAAGCGAAAGTGTCACTCAAGTAAAAGCACAAAGGTATTATTAGAAAGGTGTACTTACAATTAGAAGTACCAAAACGCCTACTCAGTAATCAATGGCATACTTCGAATACATTAATGGATTATGGTTAATACCACATGAGAGAATGAGCAGCATTGTACTGTTGTAGGTGGTTGAAGTGGAGCTAATTGTAACCTTTTATACACTGCTGGGTAGTTTATTCTGCAAGAATGCATTAAACTGTATCTTTTTAGTTACAGATTGGTCAATTAAATCTATATCTGTAAAGTAAATAGCAACTATAATTCATAAATAGAAGCAGTAGAGAAGAAGAATCAAGTAGCATAAAATACAAATACATAAGTATCTGCTCCCTGATCTCACGGCGAACTGTAAGTGGCTACTGCCTGAGATCGAATGCTGTGGTTTTATTAAATGTGCCAACGGCTAGGACTGTCTTAGGGAAGATATTGTACTGGAATAGCTCAGTATGAACTGGAGATGGCTTTGATTTTGAAATGAACTGCAGCTGTAAATCTGACGCTGCCCCAAGTCATGAAGACACACTCAAGATTACAAAAGAATATTCTGATATTGGGCAAAGTGCACCCCCAGTGGTGAAGCACGTCCTATCAGTTTGGATAATGTTTGCTTTTCCATCGGTAAATCTGGAAAAAATAAAAAAGGAAAAGATGAGCCTTGTTTGTAACTTATTCATTTTAAAATATGTTGATATCTGCTTCATGTTCTCTCTCTAAAGGAAGGAAAAGATGAAAACAGATCCAAAACAATCATCCTTGAGCGAAGAAACGATCTAACAGAGCCCTGACAAAAACAATCAAAGAGAAAATGAACCATGGCTTATGACAGTAAGACAGAAGATCATTACAGACATAGAAATACACTTCTACACATTTTTTATGTTGCAACATTTTTATGTCAACATGTTTCCTGTTTATCGTAGAAGCAAAAAAAATTAAAGGAAAAGGCTGCGCTTAACAAAATGAGGGGAACTATTGAAGAGCACGTACGTCGTTCAAAGGACGTCATGTTGCTCAGGCCTAAAGACGCCATGATGAAACAGCTGAGAGACTTGATGGTTTGTCACATTTATATTTCGTTCACACAGAATAATCTTCACTTAAACATGTTTGGGCTGCACATATCAATGTTTATCCATGACTTTTGGTCATCATTTACATAATGGATTTTGTATTAATTCAAGTGAATTCAACTAGGAACACTGCAACACAAACATAACATGTCCGCAAATGTCCGTGATAATGTGATAAATATTTCAATGCTGATTTAGTCGGATATCCCGGGGAACTGGAGAGCACGATGCAAGAAATCAATCATGCCTGTCACTTGAGAACATATGGTGTTCCCAGTCCATCCAGGTAAAAGGAAACAAATCACAGAAATACTTTACATTTGATCGTAATAAAAAGTTGATACATTTCCTTAGTGGTACTTAAATGAATCCACTTGTTTGAAACAACATGTTTTTTCAGATGTAAGTAAGAGCTTGGGGAAGGTAACGAACACTACAATGCACTGATAGGAACTACCGTAAGCCCAGATGTGATGCTGCAACTCTTCGGTAAAATCATTAAACAAAATGTAAAATATACATATTGTCTGGATTTAATGACTTGTTTTCCTGTACTAACAGTGTTTTTATTACAGTAGTGGTTAACCACGTCAAGCAGCTGCATGATGTGCACAGGTAGGTTTTTGTGAAACTGTTGATCCAATCTGTTAACAAGTGTGTGGTTATTATATATTAATTTTCACAACATCGCCTTCTCTCTCTGCTGGACGTTTCAGGGTTGATCCGTGGAGACCAACAGCAGATGCCTGTTAACATAGCCGAGGATAAGGACAATGAGGCCTCTGGATTGGGGTCTCAACTGGGTTTAAGTTCTTATCTCTGTTGACTTTGAGTGTATCTAATGTAAGCATAATGTGGTGCCCCATTTAAAAAACATCCCTATTAAAAAATCAGTTTGGTAAAAGCTTAGGTTTTACAGCCATAAAGGAATATTTCCATGTCACTAGCGACCTCCACATCACCCCTCCTTGCTTTTGTGCGCATTCAGCATTTTAGGTTCTGCTAGAAGCTTCATAAACGTAGTTTTTAATCCAGTTTTCAGAACACTTTTTACTAACACTTTAAATCTTGGTCTTTTTCCAGCTAAACAGTCTTTTACCCTAGCCTCAGGCAACAGGAGTTCTTNACAAGTTTACATAAAATTGAACAGATATTCATAAACAGTTATCTCACTTCGTTTTGTATAGTTACCCACTTTATATATGAACATATGTTTGATGGTATATATTAAAAAAGTAAAAATTGTCCATTGAATGATGGAAAACAATATACAGTTTATAAATATATACAGACACACACATATATGCATGCATATATATATATATACTGTGACCTTTTTACCTGTACTGGACTATGGTGATCTGATCTATATGAATGCACCTGCCCATTACCTGATCAAGTTAGATGCCACCTATCACATTGCACTGAGATTTGTGACAAACTGTAAAGTATTAACCCATCACTGTACCCTGTATGCAAGGGCAGGTTTGCCTTCACTAACTGTACGGAGGCTCAGTTACTGGTACATTTTTATATATAAAGCCATATTAGGGAAACTTCCATCCTACATCTGCTCCCTGATCTCACGGCGAATTGTAAGTGGCTACTGCCTGAGATCGAATGCTGTGGTTTTATTAAATGTGCCAACTGCTAGGACTGTCTTAGGGAAGATAGCTTTTAGATGCGCAGCTCCTCTGTCTTGGAACAGTCTGCAAAAGGAATGGAAGCTGAGCAATTTAGTTCCACTAAATGTTTTTAAAGCAAGGATAGATGCTATCCAATCGGAAACTGTTGGAACCTGTAAATGTTACTAGCTATGTAAACTGTAGTCGCTGTAAATATGCTGTATGATGTCCTTTTTGTTTTTCTGTTATGTTTATATGTATTCATGTGGAACCTACTTGCAGCAGGCCACCCTTGAAAAAGAGATCAATGATCTCAATGGGATTCACCTGCATAAATGAAGGTTTGAAATGAAATAAGTGCACCTCCAAAATCTGCACTTTAGTAGAGACATTGTTTTTGTTTAATTCCAACACATCATACTCATTTCCACATTCAATTCATTCCCTTTGTGTGTTTCCTTAAAGGGGGTTTCCCTTCCCTGTAGTTATATTGATTTATTGCATGTTAATGATCTGCGAAGGCTACAATTCCAAAGTTCCCTCCAGAGGGAATTTCCCCCTGCCTGAAACGCACAGATTGTATTCCTTTTTTTACATCCGTAACATAGTGACATCATTATCGAACCACTTCTATTGGCTAGCGCTCCAACACATTTGACGTGATATGCTAAGCCGGGATAGGACAACTTTAAGAGGTTGACCAAGTACAACAGAACCCGGCCAGCTGACCAATCAGAGCAGACTGGGCTCTGGTTTCAGACAGAGGGTGAAAAGAGGTGCTGCAGCACAGACAGTATGAGAAAAATAGTGACCTTTTTGAACTTTAAAGCATGGAGACATGTCACAAAATAGAAATACGAACCAGAAAATGACCATAATAAGGTCCCTTTAATGTTGATTTACGCACAACAAGGCATACACAAGCGGATAGTTGTATGCATTCATAAAGCAGATGGACTGGCACCCTCATGAAATATGCAGAGTTATTAATTGTAAAATCTGTGATGTGTAGAGCAGCACGGATTCATACATATCTTTCTAACTGAAGGACGAATGTCAACACAACATATCAAGGAGACATAGGCAGTTCTGCACTGATATAATACTGTTGCAGTTATACTTGAAATAAGCAGCATTTTTGAAAAAGAAGAGTTTAGAAATCTTCCCAGGACAAGGTTGCTGGTGGGGTAACACTTATGAGTCAGAGTGTAACTGGAACAGGCAGGCAATTTGTTTTCAGGAAAGCAACACACAATAAAACTTCCTGATTTACGGGATTTTAAACCTTTTCATTAAAAAAAATTGAAATACAAATAAATCTAGAAGGAAATGTGGCTTAGAAGCAGGCGAGATAATGTATTATGAATTGCTTTATTCTGGTTTTTTTAAGAGGGGATGGCAGAAGTAACATCAATAGCATCTCTGTTGTTCCAGACCTGACTAATGGAGAGAAGAGAGACACAACTGTTGTTTCAGACCTGGCTAATGGAGAGACGGAGCTCTTCATTTCCTCTGAGGCCGTTCTCATTGTTTAACCATCAACCAGCCTTCAGCTCCCCTCCCTCGCGAAAGTCAGAAAACACATTATGTGATATTCTAGAAATAAAATAACACAAATTATTAATGAATATAGCCATCCAAAGAAGCTGAATGTGATTATGTTGCGAACCATAACAGGATATGTCTCGGGTGTATGGTGGTCTCTCTCTCTCTCTCTCTCTCTCCGTCTCTCACAGGGCGTCTTTCTCTCTCTTTCTCCCATTCAAATTCGAGGCATGCTCAAACATCTAATAGATTTTTCCACCCCGGCACACAATTTACTGCTTACAGATTTAGAATTCTCTGGCTTCCGGCCAGTCAGAAGTGAATTAATGATATGAGCACATCAGCGAGGAAAAACAGCTTGTGATTCTCTCTCCTACAGGTCTGAGCATAATGAAGAAGATACTGCCATAAAACCTCCTAACACTACCAGGAGGAAGAAGAAAAAATACCAGGGAAGAAAGGAAAGAGGGGGAGGGAGGTGAGATAGGAACATAATCAATATGAACACTCCATTAAATTACTTCAAAAGGGGAATTTTGGACAGTTTTTGAAATTAGTTCTGCTTAAAAAAGCAGAAGGGGAAGAGAATATGTCTGAGGGGCGGAAAGGAAACACGTGCAAACGATACAATCTGCCACCTATTCTGAGTGGAGGAGTACAGTGTGGCGTGTTTTACAAAAGCATTCTTTCTAAGTCGGAGTCACAACATACCATTACTCTTGTAACGCCACGACACTTTCTCTTTATCTCTTCCAAGAAACCTCTTTACTCCAGCCCACGTTGCAGTCGAAACATAAAACATTTTCATGTGTGATAGTGACTCAAAATCCCAAATATTGTTCTGCATTGTCACCAAGACAAATCAACCATGAGAAGAAGGCATCCGTCTGTTTCCTTATCACCAGCTCCTGCCCGCATAAACATTCAGAGACGCTCTGAACAGTCTGTGAAAAGGGACAGAATCTACCCTCTACATCAAATTGAAATGTTCTGACTGAAATATTGTCGGGATATCAACTCGGGTATATGTGCCAAGTCTGGCATACAGATCAGACGTTGCATCAGAGGGAAATACAGCGGTTCAATCCACCAGCAGGCGAGGCTGTAAAGAATCTTGAAATGCGGCGATATCGCTTAGTGCCTCACCGGCCTGCTCCTTCCAGCTCAATCATTTATTTACCTCTGATCATATAAAGCAGATATATATAGTAATGTATTAAGTGTCTCAATTCCAGACATCACCGTATGTCTAGACTTCTCTGACTGTGTTCATGCTGTTAAATCAACACAATTCAAGTGTTAAGACCTTCTTAAAGGCTTATTTTTCAGTGTGTTGGTGTTGTTGTTTTGTCCGACATCGCAATGCACCAAGAATTTAAAGGGGCCCTATTCTGCGCATTTTCAGTTTCATATGTGTGCCTCTTTAATGTTCAATACGAGGGCCAAGTCTGCTCTGATTGGTTAGCTGACCGGCTCTGTTGTGATTGGACAACCGCTTAGAGATGTCCCGCCTCTTAGCATCACGTACAATATGTTGGAGCGCTAGCCAATAGAAGAGCAAGTGTAAGGTAGTGATGTCCATATGTAACGGAAGTAACAGACCACAGGAAAGGGAAAGAAGCATAATAGGGCCTCTTTAAGAAACTGCTCTAAGCTGGCTCTTGAAATCAATGACAGTGAAATAAAAAGTTATACACAACTGTACAAAACTACTACTTGTACTATACAAAGTAAAATCATACAACTATGTGGGTGTATATAATAAGTAAGCACTATGTGAATAGCTTATAATGCAATTTTGCAGCTCAGTTGGTCGAGAAGGTCAGCCATTTATCGAAGGGTTGGCGTCCTTGAGCAAGATGCAGCAACTCAGACTGCTCCGGATGTATGTGAGGGCAAAGGAATATAATTATCGTTGGACAAAATAATTGAATGTACCTAAACTATGCAACATGCAGACTAAAGGCCAGTAAATGTAGATGGCAGGAGGGAAATGCCTTTCAACGCGAGTGCATTTGATGGATATATTAAATGGAAATGTAATTAAAAGCAAACCATTTGCAGCTTTTCATTCGGCAAAGAGATGCCTTTCCCTCCATAATAAAAATAAAAACTGACCTTCATTACCATCACTAACTGAATATGTCTAGCTCACATCGCTTCCAATATCTTATAAATATTGCGCCCTTGACTTAAGTTTGTGATTCACTGAATACATTTGTTTGGTGAATTTAGAGAAACATTTTTAAAAGGTGCTGCTGTGAAAATATTATGTTAAAAGTCAAGTTGAGGTCTGGCTGCTTTTCTAGCGCACTGTGTACAGATATATTTTTTCTAGGGATGTTTTCTCAGACCGCAGTGATCCTCGCAGCGCTGAGGGAGGAAGAGGCCACTGATGATAGTACAGGTGAGGGCAGGAGTCAGGAACACCATCTATGTGTCTTAAATGCAGGAGTCACAAGCTTCGACCTTGTATAGTCCTCGACATCCTCACAAATCAGCTCACTGTGAAGGCTTGAGTTGAAGAAAGACAAGAGCTGTTTTTGAGAGCAAGAGCAATCTTTTTATTTTTTATCATTTTCCTTCTACAGTTTCTCCCGGCGTAAAAGCCAACAAAGTGTATCAGCAGATACAGCTCTACAACGCCCGTCTTCGTAGTATACGACTAGAAACCAATTTCATCGGGTAGCAGTGAAAAGAAAAAAAAAAGAATCAGGCCAGTTCTCTGGGGAGAGATTGAGGGGCAGAATGTAAACTTCCCTGGCAAGCCATCCCTGGTGGCTTGAACAGTAAAAAGAAGCTCACTCAAACCCAAGATAAACTGAGCGGACAGTTTGCATTACCTGATTAATTGAATCACATTAAGGATTATGTAATGACTGCAAAATACAATACACCACTCTTCATGCACTCGTAGAAATATGCCATTAGAGTCCTCTGGGCCTGAAATACTGCACGTAGGAAGCTTCAGTGTGTGATCAAGAGCAGGTCACAAGAAGAGTGACTTATATTTTATTCTAAGCTACTGTGGTTCCTTGAAAAAACTATTCTTAAAAAAGGAGAAATTCCATATTTTAAAGGATGAAGACTGTAAACAGACAGCTAGCGTCGCTCCGTGGCAGCAGCACAGTGATAACAGGAGGAAGAAGTGACTCAGCTCAGCCAGGAAATAATCCACCACATTTTTGTAGGGATTAAACAAACAGGATATAACATGTTAATTTGTGAGCTTTTAATTTGATAGTAGTACAAAGCCCAGATAGCTTGCTTCCGGACTCAAAGGTAAGCTAAGCTAACTAGCAGCATCATGCTTGCAGCACAGACATGAAAGTGGTCTTTCTTCTAGAGGACAGATTGATTCTTTGTTTCTTTAAAAAAAAAATGCAGTTTTAAAAGGGAACATTGCTTCATTCACGAGGCCCTCTCACAAAACACTGCATTTCAAAGCCTGGCGTGAGCTGGAATTTGAATTATGATAGCAATCATCTCTCTGCCTCACAGGTTTTAGAGCCACAGCTGTCGAAGCTGCAGGACAGCAGCAAAGGTCACTTGTTTCTCTAATTAATTACTTCACTTTGTGCGGGCATCTTTGGTTTCACTCTTTCTGCATCTATGAGGACAGTACAGAGCTTTGTTCACTTATTAGACCATACATAAAAGATCAAAAACAATATAATTATCATTCTGCCATTTCAGACCCACTTGTCTGGTAGTATTTTTCATATGTTGCCTGTGAGACACAAATGCATAACAGTGCACTTAATTCACATTGGCAGCGTGCCAGGAAAAGTTAGGATACGCTCTTGGAAGAAAAAAAAGAGCTGTTTCCCACAATAACAATGGCACACTTTATTGCTCTTTAGCTCACAATGGTTTTTCTGTGCAGCTTGTGGTATCGCTGCAGTATCCTGTTATGGGGAACAATCCAACTCCTCTGACATAGGCACAGATCAGCCGGAGAATAACAATCAGTAATACCTCATTCAAGTAAAACAACGAGCAGCTACTTTATTCTATTTATGAATAAAAATCCCTTCCAAAAAAGTGGAGCATATATAGCTGCATCATAAAAAAGTAATGTTGTCAATGAGCCAATATTACACAGGATTAGTCATTCAGCTAGGCTTTAGGGTGCTTTTATATCTGATCTGCTGCAGCTGTGGCATGAATATTTCATTCTGGTAGTACGCAGCATTGCAGTGGCATATTTCATATTTCTATGCAAACCCTTGCTCAGGGTAACGTGCATTTGCCTTGATGAATAAGTGATCTCTCTCACTCCTTTCCAAGTCTCTGTTCCGCTCATATTGTTGGACTATCAACAAAGGCCACACGCCAAAGACGTGAACAAACAAACAAATGCATAAGTGAAAGCACCCCACTGATTGTCTGGGTGTAGCATGTGCGTGTGTGTCTGCATGTGCGAGTGTGTGTGTGTGCTGTATGTGTACTGTGTGTGTGTGTGTGTGTGTGTGTGTGTGTGTCTCTGGTGCCCTGCCAGAGTCTGAGCTCGTTCTGCTGAGTGGGCAGATTCTCTGGCTGAGTGTCCCATCGGAGTGACAAGTGCATTTAGAAACAGCCTGATGGAGTCATTAACGGCAGCGCTTCTCATTAGCCACACACACACACACACACACACACACACACACACACACACACACACACACACACACACACACACACACACACACACACACACACACACACACTAACAATAGCGTCATCGTTAGGTTATTACACAGACAACAGATAAATCTATAAAATGTTGACGATGCAGCACATTTAATATGGAACATAATATCATTTAAGAAGCAGGCTGACACTTTTATTTATGAAAGCAAGCAATCACCCCCACACACACAAGCAAAATCAAACTGTATTGATTACTGGAATAACAACAAAGCATCCATTATTGATCCCCTTGTCCTTTTTGCGTATGAGATTCGAGCAATATCGAGTAATCAAGGGCGTTACAGCATCGCACAGACACAAGAGCCTCTCTTCCTGGAAGACCCCGAGCAGAAAAACTGCACAAGACTCTTCAATAAATCACAATTTTCTTCTGAGAAAAAAGGATCATGTTGTTACGGCTAAAGCAGTTTCACTTCCACAAAAGGCTTCAAGCATTCAATGATTATTATAAATACATTAATAGGGGATTATAAAGCTAAATTTCTGGCTCACCAGGATGAATTCTTACAACCTGACAAGACATGATGGTATTTTTAGCATGTTTGCTAAGCTATATTATCCAATTATAATCAGCATTAGACATGACATCACAGCCATGTGTGTGAGAGGCAAATAACAGGGAAACGGCTTCAAAGGGAACATTATGTTCTTTCTGATTATTAGAGTCAAATGCCAGAGTTTCCTATTTGAATCCGATGACTCATCCACCGAGACATCCAGCTTTATGTTGGGCCTGATTCATAGGTAATGCTGCCGTGAGACCCAGCGTAAGAATCAAACAGTCTCCGACTCCTAATGGCACCGTATACATGATGAATATGCCAGACAGCCATTTAAACACAAACAGCAATGATCCTCAAAGCTCCTGAGATACACAGCCAATTATGATCTGATCTGATGGATAAGCCGGTGTCAGAGGTGCCCGTTTGATGTGGCTCAATTATTTAGAGACAGTACCAGCTGAATTATGTGATTTTTTTCTGCTGTCTTTGTTGTTGTTGCACCCGGAAAAAAAGAGAGCTGTTAAACTGTGGGTTGGTAATGCGTTTGCAAAACACGCTGCCATTACCTCTATGCTGCGTATAATAGTGTGATTCTCAGCTCATTATATCGGGAGGATTTCCAACTACACACTGATGAATTACTCTAGTGAAGACAACACTTGTTAAATCAGTTGACATTTCCTCTACTCTGCTGTTTGTGTTTGTGTCCTGTCTCCACCATAAATCAGCTTATGTTTATTGTCCCTTGGTTGATTTAACAAGTGTTGTCTTCACTAGAGTAATTCATCAGTGTGTAGTTGGAAATCCTCCCGATATAATGAGCTGAGAATCACACTATTATACGCAGCATNACCGGCAAGAGAGAAAGCCTTTGAGCTCCATACTGTTTCAGAGATAATCCTTGATAATCCATGATATGGCGTTTCATCACGGCAGTATTTAGTTTAGACAGTAGCTGCCGAGTCCCGCATGAGCTCAACCCCCTCCTTTTTTATTTTTTTATCAATTTTTTATAATTTTTTAAGCTTTATACCCCAAATCAGCCCTTTTGAAACGGGAAGTGAAATGGAGG